ACTTCATATATTATTTATTTTCTCAAAAAAATGGTTCCGAGCATATCTTTTTTTGAAACCGAATGCGAGGAATGCGGAGAGCTATGCAGTCGGTGGTGCAAAGCATGTCAAAGGGAAGAGTTTAGACGAAGGTTCAATGAGTGGACTAGTGGTAACCTAGCTATTGACCAACTTATTCAACATACTCAGCTCAATGCAAGTGAGTATAAGGGTTATCTCGAATGGATTCCGTCTGAATCAGTGGACATTAATGAGCAATTATCAGAAGGTGCCTTTAGCACCGTTCTTTCGGGAACATGGATGGAAGGCCCTAGGTGGAAGTGGGATGAAAATGACAATAGTTGGAGTAGAAGTGGTCCATTAAATTGTGCTTTAAAAAGGATAGAGGATTCTGATAATATAAGTCAAGAATATTTAGATAATGTATGAATTGTTTATTAAATATTTTAATATATATATATATACATAAATTCTAATATTTTATTTATTATCAATTTTATTTAGATTTTAAAGCATCAGCGATTCCTTCAGAGCGATTCAATGGTCGAGTGCTTCGGAATTACTCGTGATCCTGAAACTAGTTGTTATATGTTTGTTGTTAGACTTTGTAATGAAAACCTCTATCAATTCCTTAAACGAACTAGGGGACAACTTGATTGGAGAAATAGAATTGATATGCTTTATGAAATTGCTAATGGCCTTAAACAAATCCATGATTGTGGGCTTTATCATGAAAATTTACATGGAGGAAATTTGTTAACTGAAATGACAAATAATGGTATTAACATAAGAATTTCTGACACCGGATTGCATGGTCCACCTGATAGAAATTCTTCAACAGTTTATGGCGTTTTACCATTTATTGCTCCTGAGGTTTTGAAAGGAGATAAATATACGCAAGCTTCAGATGTATACAGCTTTGGAATTATTATGTGGGTAATGTCCAGTTGCATACCTCCTTTTAATCAAATCTCTCATGATCGTGACCTTGCGACATGCATATGCGATGGTTTAAGACCAAAAATTAATGGAAACATTCCAGACATTTATTCGACTTTAATGGCAAGATGCTGGCATCAAGATCCAAAACAAAGACCGAAGGTTGCTGAACTTTGCAATACTTTAAGTCAATTTGCATCGGGCATGCGTGATAACACTTCATCTATTTCGCAAGAATTCACCGTTGCATATGCGCACCCCCGCGGTGCATCTAAAGTAGTATATATAAGCCAATTAATTAATTATAAAATCCATTAATTTATGTTATTTAATAATATGTGATATGAAATATATTGTATCAGGTATTAAGCCTAAATTATTTTAAGAATCTATGATTTCTTTATATTATGATATTTAAATATATTTATGATCGTAATTTTCTGTTTTTTTTTTTTTATTTTCTTTTATTTTTTTTGATTTTTTATTTTTTTTATTTTATTTTATTTTATTTTATTTTTTTCTTAATTCTTTTATTTATTTTCTTTATTTTATTTTTCTTATTTTTATTTTTATTTATTTTTCTTATTCTGGGAAAAATTGCACGATCGGAATGTAAATTTGTTTCTCGTTTCTCGCCGGCAAAATCGCAAAATCTGAATGTAACGTGAACAATAAACAAATATGACAAATTTATAAAGTTTACAAATACGCATTATCGTTATTTACGGATAAATCTAATTTCCAAACTAGTTACTGCAAATCGATATTATTAATTTGACTGTTTTGAGAAAATAATAAGTATATTGGCACACTTACGTATGTAAGCATACAGTATAGAATATTGTCACGATCTAAAAAAGGCATGCATTTCGTAAATATTTTTTTGTGTTACGATACATATATGACATATATAGACATAGCCTTTTTTAGAAATTCCATTTTAGCACTTTTCTTTATACAGATAAAGGAAAAACAATGACATATTTGATCTATGACCTATCATCTCATCTGGAATATTCCACAGAAAATAATTAAAATATCAGGAATTAAAAATCCATGAATACGTATTCGGTATAACTCTTTCTGGTACTGTACTCCAATAAAACCATAAAAAAATCGCAGCTCTTTAATGTTTACAAACTATAAGTAAATAGATTCAGATATAGAATTATTGCCTTTTTGTTTTGTTTTATAAGATAAAAAAAAATAAACCGAAACAATTTGTGAATTGTTACCATGTTTATCGTTATCTATAATATATTTGATATATACATATAAAGTTTATGGAAGGCTCCTTACTACTTATCTATTCGACCTTATTACTTAATCCACTTGTCCTACGTAATATTATAAAGAGAGTATAAGCTACGGATCATATAAACTCTAATTATTAACTCTTGGAAATTAAATTCCGAGACAACATACAATAACACTTTTTAAGAGTAGTTTGTCGGAGCCGTATGTATCCAGAGAAAGAAAAGCACATATGATTTATATGCAGGTACTTGTGTCTTACAAGTGAAAGAATTTGATTAAATGGGTGACGCCAAGGGAAAACCCGACTCTAGGTTTTAAGTATATTTTTATCGGACTTAAACTCCTGATAGATTTGATTAGCTGACTCTGATCAGTAGTAAACTTAAAAGTCCAGAGTCGGGTTTTCCTTTGCGTCACCCAAATGCTGCACTTAGGAAGTCATATTCGGAGAGTTTTAAACATTTGGCCAATATTTTACGATCAGAAAAATAAATTGCTTTTAAACACCTAAAAACTAATTCAGTAAATATATATTTAAAAGAACCATTTAACTATTACCATTCTTTTGTATATGAATTCCTATTGGAATTTCGATTCCTCTCTTAGCCAATATGTCTATAATGCTTTGTTTTTCGATTACGAACAATAAACGCTGCCGCAAGCTATATCACCTTTTATAGTATAGTAGAACGTCTAAGCTGTATAATCGGTGTGCATACTACTGTAACATATGGTCGTATGATGGTACGAAGTCCCTGACGTAAAATGGTACGTACGTACGTACATAGGTTTCAGTATCAGGTATTATTCACTCGCGTGATGAAAATAACTCTTTGTGCTACATTTCTGCATGAACTTGTATCGAACGTGTGATTTTCATTGATGCCGCATGCGTACGTACTTACTGTACGTATGGTGTGACCCGCGTCCAAATGAGCGGATTTTATCCTTGTTGGTAAATGCACCACTTAATTTATAAAGGTAATTTATATAACTGATATGTTACTCAGGTTCATTATATACATAGTCCTTTTCAAGTAATTTCTCTTTCACTTGTCTGCGTTAATTTAGTCAGTAAGTGTAAATGTCTTTTGTTAATCGACATGTTTAAAATAAGCACATTATTTAAATTCTTCACATAGTTTTCCAATTTATCGGTTATTATTTTTAATTTCATTTTATTTACATTAATTTAATCGGAATCAGGACAGCGGTTACAAATCGGTTAGTTAGAAATCATTTACTAGATTTAGCGCTGATTTTCTTTTCACATATGGGGTCTTTGCCTTGAAAATCAAATATGGAACATATGATTTACTATGTCCCATAACTTGATTTTCAAGGCAAAGACCCCATATGACAATAATGGACCACTTATTGAAATAGGTAATAGAATTTCTCGGGGATCAAAAAATATTATTAAATATGTAAATTTTAGAAGTGGTTAATGACCCGCTTATTTTGGATTCCTATTGCTTACTTTTAATAAGAAACATATGCTTAATCCACGAGTCGAATTAACAAGTACCGGGTAAATATCGGAAGACCAATATCCCGATAGTCTACTAAGATCCACCAAATATCTGTACCAGGAACGTAGTGAAACGAAGTGGATGGTTCAATTCGAGTTTTGCGTTCGTACACAAAATCTTGATTCTGATTGGATGTAGTAATCGTATGATAAAATTTTATGTCTGATCTTTGCTTTTTGGGGAATTGCTTTTTGGGGAAGCCCATTAAAACCAGGTTAACCTACATATCGCATAAATTGTATTCTTTTGATATTTATATATAAATAGTAATACTAACTGACCAAAAAAGTAACTCTAACCTGACTCTGTCGGTTCTGCCACAAAATCTCGACGAAATTGTAATCCCGATGTGACAATATTTAAAGATTAGTAATTACATTAACAATTATTGTCAACCTTAAATTTTTAATTGTCTATGATTTCTATGATTTTAATTATATTATCGAGTTTGCAATCAAAATCAAATTGGTAAATTACAACGTAATAATATTATTCCGTTTCATGATAGTACAGTAGTATGCACGAATGATTCCTCATTTTTTTTTTAGATTGATGTCTGATCAAAAAACCTTATGATATACTAATTGCTCAAGATCTACGTTCCTGGTTTTAGTGCGACAACATCGCACAGCTACCTTATAAAATATGGGAATTGCTACCGGCACAGCAAACACGTGACATAATTCATAATTCTGCTACATTATAACACTAACCTTAAATATAGTACCGGCCATGCTGTATCGTTAAGGTTAGTGCTGGTCACTTGCTGTGTCGATAAGCACGTGTTTTGCTGTGTCGGTAGTAGTGTTCCGCAGACCCGAACCGAAGACCCGAACCCGACCACGGGTCGGATCCATGATTTATTTGACCCGTCCGGGTTCGGGTCTCTATCGTGACCCGGACCGACCCGGCAAGAGTTCGATCATTGAATTCGGTATGCACGTGATCATGCGGGCAAGTATAATTGGCTTGAGTATAAGTGCAAATTGGTCAAATCTGAAATGTGACACAGAATAGTCTATAGTAGTTAATGCGTCATTGATTAGAAAGTCTAATAGCTTGTGCGTTATCTTGCATTAAAAATGTAGTAATCAATTTGTAGCCTAATAAAGTAAAACATGTGTAAATAGAGTAAGGGGATTAGTAAGTCTTCATGCTTTTTTCCCTTGATACAAATAAAGAGAAAAATACCTGTTCACTTGATCTTTCATTCTTTGTAACCTAAGTTGTTTGTGGCATTGTAGTAAAGGTGTTGTAGGTGTAATTAAAGACAGAGTAAGGTGCCTCTTGATGCTGTGTGTATATAGGTAGAACCTGAAGCTATTGTAAATTGAGCTAGATTACAAAAAACAAACTCTGGCTTTTGTTAACCCACTGTGACATATACTGAACTTTATATAAAAGTAGAAATTGGGGTATATAAAAAAAAAATATGTCTAGCTTGTCTGTGGTTTCGTATGATGAATTTTATGATGAACCTTACGATGAACCATATGATGAACCTTACAATGAACCTTACGATGAATCTTTTGATGAACCTCACGATGAATCTTGCAATGAGACTCAGAAGCCAACAAAGCCAACAAATATGATTTGCTTGAATGAATTCAAAAATGATGAATTATTATCTCCAACAACTGAAACTACCATAACTAATAGGTAAATTACTTTATTTAAAACCTTAGTATTAATTTTATTTTATATACTAATATATTTGTTTATAGATCACTTGTATGGAACCATTTTAAAAAAAAAAATTTCGAAATAAAGATGGGCTAGTTGTATTAACTGCAATATATAAATATTATAATAAATATTTAAAAATACAAGAGGATGGATCCACTTCAAGCTTCTGAAAACACTTTGCATATCATCACAAAAATGATATACCAGAGTTAAAAGGATCAAAAGAATCTGACATAAAGCATAATGTTTCTGTATTAGATATACTAAAAAACAAAGCTGTAAGTTATTAAAAAATTTACAAATATGCAATTACACCAATTTGTTAATATATATTCTTATACTATCTTTAAAAATACTAACGCTAATAATTATTAGACTACAAATCACTATCATGAACCCTTTGACCCTAAGAAATTTAATGATCTTGTTAAGCTATGGGTAATTAAGCATAATCGACCATTTCACATAGTTGAAGATGATGGTCTTAGATTGATATTTACATATTTGGAGCCTAAAGCATTTGGTAAATTTTGTCATTATTTAATATCTACCTGAATATCATTTGTTGTGTATTAAATTAATATTTGTATCAGACTAAAATAATTATAGTCCTACTAATATTTACTTAACCATAATACTGATGCAAATTTTAATTTTGATTTGAACTTTTTTTGAGATTATTTTTATAAATAAT